CACACACACACATACAGTCTAGGAATATTTTAAAGAACGGGTCCTTTAGGCCATAGTGTGTGAAAGCAAAATGTACAGAAAGATAGTAATACCTGTCACACATAATCTTTCATTTAAAATGTATCTTTTCAGGCCTGGCGGCATGGCCTAGCAGCTAAAGTCCTCGCCTTGAAATGCGCCAGGATACCATATGGGCGCCGGTTGTAATCCCGGCAGCTCCACTTTTCATCCAGCTCCCTGCTTGTGGCCTGGGAAAGCAGTTGAGGATGGCCTAATGCTTTGGGACCCTGCATCCAGCTTTAGACCACTGCAGTACCGGCTGTTACGCTCACTTGGGGAGTAAATCATCGGAGGGAAGATCTTCCTCTCTGTCTCTCCTCCTCTCTGTCTCTCCTCCTCTCTGTATATCTGACTTTGTAATGAAAATAAATAAATCTTTAAAAAAACGTTACGTTTTCAGTGACTTGATTACAACAAAACTTGTTTAAAATAAACATGTAATGTTAATTACTACAAATAGCCTACAATACAGTTCAGACAATTTTTGGATTTTCTACTTTTTTCAGTCCTTACCTTTTAGTATATATGTGTGTGCATGTGCGTGTGTGTGTATAGATAGATGGATACAGATATAGGCATATATATGAGGATCTTTCAAAACTTCAAGGGAAATGTGTAATGAGAAAAAAACACAGGGGCCAATGCTGTGGTGTGGTGCTTAAAGCACCTCCTGGAATGCCAGTGTCCCATGTGGGCAATGGCAAGAGATCTGGCTGCTCCACTTCTGATCCAGCTTCCTGCTAATATTCTTAAGGAAGCTGTGGAGGATGTCCCTAATGCCTGGGCTCCTACACTCATGTGGGAGACTTGGAAAAGCTCTTGGTTCTTGGGAAGTAAATCAGTGGATAAAAGTATCTCTCTTTTCTCTCTCCTCTCTAATTCTGCCTTTCAAATAAATTCTTTTTTTTTTAATTGCATGAATTTCAAAATGTTTTCACACCAAAACAGCCTTATTTCTAAGTTTATTTTCTCATTAACTTTTTAAAGTATTTTTGCATATTTAATAGGCATATAAGCTGTTCCCTTTATACTTTTCAATAGACCTCTGAAATCTAGGATATCGTTCAAACAGATGCATACAAAAATAAACTTTCTACCTTGGAAATTAAGTAATCCTGTGTACCGTGCTTTCTTATTAGGATAAACTCAATTTTTCATCTATTCCATGTGAAGTAGTCTGTCAGCCAATTTTAGTAGAAAAATCCTTTTCTGATCCAAGTTCTTCTTGAGATTTTTCCAGAGGAGTGAAATCCAGGTTTCTCTTTCACTTCCACAAATAGTCTCAGGAATCCTCCTGTGATCAGGACCATGTCAAGCAACAAAGCAGAAGACACAGTTAGTCCTTAAAATTTCAACCCCTTCAACTCTGCACTTGAGACAAGGAATGATTAAAACACAAAGTGCCATGGGCTTTGTCCCACTAAACAGAATCCAACAGGGGCTCAAGAAAGCGCCAGGCTCCTTCCACCTGTCAGCCAGGGCAGTCCTCCTGTGGGATAGTGCCTGAGCACAGGCAGTCAAAACGCCTGGATGCAGCAAAGGCAGCAGAGATTTCTGAACAGAAAAAGTTAGCAAAAGTTTAGAAAACAGAGTAGTTCTGAAGCAATTTGGTATAACTCGAGGGGAAGTTTTATCTTTATGTAAAACAATGAATGGCAACAGTGATTACTGATGTCCTAGTGAGCTGTGTAACCAACAGACCACAGCAGAGGGACCATGGTACTACAGCAGAAGAGTATTATCAGATCTAGTCTTGGTTTTGAAAGTTGTCCTAAGTTACTAGAGTTAAGGTGGACTCAGTAATGCTGGGAAACAAACCAATATCTTCAATATCTCAGTGGTTTTCCCCATGTACATTTCTTCCTTGCTTTTGCAGCTTGTGTTGGAGGTTCTGAGATTCTCCCAGCAGCTGTGCTCAGTGTGACAGTGCACATCCTGGCCAATGTTCCTTCTCACCCTCGCCCCTGTGACTGCAGCCACAAGGGAAATGAACAGAACAAGGCCTGGCCCTCATGTGATTCTCCCATGAAAGGAAGCCGTGCCCATCTGTTCACATTTCACTTACCAAGGTCAGCCACATGCTACACCTGGTTTCACTGGATCGGGAGTCTGACCTTCTCTTATGTCTTTTACCAGAAGGAAGAAAGGAAAAATTGGGAAGCACTGAAAATACCTTCGGAGTGATGAAGATGTTATGAAAACACTACATTTGAGATTTAGGCTAACACGGTCTACAATGCTACTAGCAAGTCATACATTCAGTTTAAAACTAAAGTTTTAATCTAAATCCGGTGATTGAAAACTAAAACATTAAGAGGTTTCACTGTCACTCCATATTTGCACCACTGTCTGTGTAAGCAACTGTAAAAGCTAGTCATTTATAGACCTAAATGAATCATGAAATTATTTAACCTGGGTTATTGCTTCAAGATTAAAATGCTGGCATTTAGGTGAACTGCTTTCATTAATTATGCTTCAGTCACTTAAAAGGAGCTTTGTATGATTATGGTTCCAAAACTCTAGTGAAAATAAACCACTTTTTCTCCCTTCTCACATCTAAAGAGACAATGAAAAAACTGCACTCTGACTCTGCACTAAAAGCAACAAATACTGATATCTGCCCATTAGAAAATGGCATATTATTACAGGCTGGGACCTTAATTTCAGCAGTCTGTATGGTTGCTACAATGACAAGAGGCATATTTAGTCAAGTATTAATTCTAAACATCAATTTAGTTAGCAAATGATACCCTATCAAGGTGAAGGGCTGTCACCTGGCCTTACTACAGCAGAGACCACTCAGATGCTTCCTTTTTCAAGGTCTATCAGTAAGCTCTATGCTGCTCAGTAAATTTCACAGTATTTTCTGAAAGCATGCTTGGATCTACCAAAATAACCTGCACCTTAAAACAATCGGGCACTTGTGAAAATCTAAATGAAATATGCAAATATACCTCTTTGTCAGGTGTAAAGAATCATCTAAACAGTATGCACGTGGTACACTAGCTCAGGGCTCTGCGCGATTCTTTTATCCCAGGAAAACTTTCAGAAGGTGAATAAAGCCCGGCATTCCTTAGTTTATGGATTGCAGTAACGTCCAGTGCTCCAGTGCTCTCCTCACCGCTGTTGGTCTGAAAAAAAAAAAGCCTCTGAAGACAGGGCAAGCTTAAACCTGCTAGCCACGAAAAAGATCAGTTTCACAGGTAGGCTTTTAAAAGAGTAGTAATCATTCGTAGAGGTCACGTCAAGCAGGAAACACACACACAAAACCCAATTCTGGATGTCGAAGGTCAGACTGGCTTAAGCTTGCAGGCCGGTTCTTCGAGTTTCTCTTCGCACTTCCGCGGCCAGCTGGGTCCTTCCCAGGCAGGTACCCTTCCTCCCGCCCCACCTGTCCGGTCTAGGCGCGTCGGCTTCCCCAAGCGAGGCCCTAGTGGTGGGAATGGGAATACTCCTCCAGGGAGCTGCCTTTCTGTTTGGCTTCCCCAACCGGTCCCCCAAACACCCAAAACCCTGGGGAAGGAAATTCCAGCTCGTTCGTCGCCCGCCCCCGCCCCGGTCCTCTCTCCGGCTCGCTGCCTCGCTCGCTCCAATGCCGCCCAACTCGTCCTCACTTCTGGGTAGCCGGGCGGCGAAGGCGGCGGGCTGCTGGGCTCCGGGCAGAGCATGGGGCAGGGTGAGTGCGCGGCCGGGGAGAAGCCCGCGGGGCAGGGGCAAAGCGCTGAGTAGGCCCGGCCCCTGGGACGGAGCCTCGGGGAGCGCGCTCTCCTCAGTGCAAGTCCTGGATTGCGAGCCAAGCCGCCAAGCGCGCGGGCCGGGGGCGGAAAGAGGAGGAGATGAAGCTGCGAGAGAGAACAGGCGAGCCACTGTCTCCCTTTGGAAAGAAAGTAGGAGTCCTGGGTGGGAAAAGAGAGGTCCGCCCTTCCAACTTTTCCTCGGGAGAACTTTTCCCAGGGACTTGTGTTTGTTCCAACTTGGCCGGAGGAAGCCGGGGTGCCCTGCCGGCGTGGCGGCTGTGCCTGCGCGCCCGGCCCCGCTCCTCTTCCTCCTCCTTTCTCCTGTAGCCGGGGCAGCTCTACTCCCTCCCCGAGAGGCGCCAACCGGTGCCCCCCAAATCAAACCCACGGGGGCGGGGGCTGCCCGCTACAAGCCGCGGCCACGGCGCCCGCGGGCACAGAGCCGGACCTGCAGGTGGAAGCGCACCGGGAGGCGGGCCGGCCCGACGCTCACGCGGACCGGGCGGGCTCCTGACGTGCGGCCAGCCCCGCTCCGGCCCTGGGAAGGCGGGCGGCCCGCCCTGACCTCCCGCCTTTCCCACCCCAGCAGTGACGCGCCGCCTCCGAGCTGGAGCCCGCGCAGAGCCGCGCAGGGCGATGGACGGCCGAGCCTCCAGCGCGCACGACGCCCGGGCGGCGTCCCCGCCGCTCGCCACCGCCGCCTCCTCAGGGTAAGCCCCGAGCGCCGCGCCACCTTCCCGCCCGGAGGACACCGACGCCTCGCCGCCGGCTTCACCTGCCTGGCGACTCGCTCGCTGCTCTGCCAGCGGCCTGATTTCACTCGCCGTCCTACAAGGCGGCCGGCGACGCGGCGTCCTCCCGGCCTTGCTAGAGGGGGAGCCCGTCCGGGGTAGGGTCTCGGGCGGTGTTGGGTGGCTTTCTTACGGGGGGCTGCCCTGGTTGCGGAAGGCCGGCTGAATGCCAGGAATTGGGCTAGGAGTCCGGCAGCAAAAATTGTAACAAAGGGCTCCTTGTTGGGGCGCTTGGAGGAACGATGGACGATACCTGTAAAGGAACTCCCGAAAAAGAACAGCGACAACAGAAAGTTTCCTTTTTGTTGAAGGGCAGGGTCCCGGGCGGTGGAGCAGGGTCAAGGTGACTGGGGAAGGGGCTTTCTGAGAGCGGGAGGAGGGCGTCCGGAAGGTGTGCCAGCTGTCAGCCCGCATGACAGTTCCGGGAACAGGCGGGGTGCTCCCGTCTCTCGGGGGTGTGTGCGCCCGTGGCCAATTGCTGGTGCCAAATCCAAGCGGGTAGGAAGATTGTAATCAACTTTTCTTATTCTCACGTGTTTGAAGGAGAGATTGGAGGGGAAGAGGCCGTGACATGGGGAGTTAATATACAATGAAGCATGTCTTCCTGCCAGATATGCTAATCAGCACCTTGCCCAGCTGTTGGGCAAACAGGAGAACAGGTAGCGCTGCAAGGAGAGAACTGAGAACAACCTTGGTCTTAGTGAGCAGCTCAGACCTAGGTGGACTCTGGTACAGGAAACCCCTTCGATGACCTGGAACTTTCCTCCTTAGGATTCCCTTGACCCAGAGCGTCTTTTCTTCCTTAATCAGAAACTAGAAGCCTCTAGTATAGAGAATACGAACATTAGGAAAAAAACACGTTGCAGAAGAAAAAAACAAAATGAATGAGAGTTGTGTAGTTTTCCTGACTGAGTAGTGGCAAAGTCATTTTTCCCTGGAACATGACAGGCGTTTCCTTAGAAGCAAGTCATAGCGTGTTTGTTCATCAGAGACCATGCAAACACTGGTGGTTGCAGAGAAGAAACATGGAAAAGTCTCAGCAACATGACTAAGCTAAAAGATATTTAGTATAATGCTTACACAAAGGAAACATGTCGCCAATGAATTAATGCTTTCATTTTTCTCCAGTTAGCTATCTTCTTCCCACAAAAAGACTCTTGCTGTTGATTTCTCTCCTTTCCCTAGCTCTCTTGTTGTTTACACTGCTAGAGATTCTGCTGAGTATTCCCACCTAAGGATATCTGAGTTAATCAGGTAATGAGTATAAATGCAAGATCTCTGGCTGGACCTACAGGGTTGCATACATTGATTCTGGAATGCTGACTTATATCCAGGTACCACAAAATAAGATGGAATTAAGCTGACTTTATGAATGGATTAGGTTAAGGTGCTTTTAACAATACCCTCCCACACCAAAAATGCAGAAATCAAATGATAACTTTTTGCTTTAGAGTCTCTTCCTTTTGTGTTTCTCTTTATTTTTAAGTTATTCATTTGTTATTATTATTTTTGAGAGAGAGCTCTTCACCTTCGGTTCATTCTGCAGTTGTGGGCAGTACTGGAATGAACCAGACAAGCCTGGAGCTGGGAACTCCATCCAGGTTTTCTAGGAGGATGGCAAGGACCCAACTACTTGAGCCGTCAACTTGGTCTCCCCGGTTATGCGTTGGTAGAGGGTGAGGATCAGGTGCTGGGACTCGAAGGCAGGCACAGGTGTGGGGTGCAGGTAGCCCCAGCAGTGTAGGAACCACCCCCAGACTCCTCTAAACCTGTGAAGTAGCAGCAGATCAGTAAAGGTTCACAGAAAATGAACTTTAAACATTAATTTTGAGCAAGCAAAATGGAAATGCATGCATGATTCTTCACAATATACATTTTTCCACGAAGGTTTTGAAAGCCCCTCTGAGGTGAAGTCAGAAATCTCTGAGTTAAGGAGTGGAAAGAGCTTTCTAGTGACAAGCACTGTAGAAAAATGCCTCCGGGTTTACTTCGGAGAATGTAAGGCTAAACTGATAAGCTCTTTGCTTTGAAATAATATACGAAAGTGCTTTAGTTCCAGTCTCAAAGAGTCTCTTTAAATTTTTCATTGATTTATTTTTACTTGTTTGAAAGGCAGGCAAACCAGATCTTCCATCTGCTGGTACGTGGCCAAGTACCTGCAACAGCCAGACAGGGTTGGTCCACACTGCAGTAACGAGCCAGGGATGAACTCCTGGTCTCCTGCATGGCTGTCAGGGACTCCAGACTTGGCCCAATACCTGCTGTCTTCCAGGCTGAACATTCACAGGAAGCTGATTCTGAGGCTGAGCAGACACTCTTAAGCCCAGGCGTTATGGGATATGTGGGATATACGTCACTATGCTTCTAAGCAGTGACAAGATGCACCCCCCCAAAAAAAAGAGTATTTTCAAAGAAATGTGCTATTCCTTCCTCAGATTTAAGGAGGGACATCTGGAAAAACATAACATCCTTTGTGAAAACAATACTGTCATATTTTACTTTATTATATTCAGAGAAATTATCACAATCAGAAAAATATAAACACCAAAACATTACATCTTTACTTGTCCCTTGGCATAGTCCTCCAAACACCTGTTTTAGAACGTTTGGTGAATAGTCTATATGGCTTTGGTTCTTTCTCAAAACCCCAGAATATTAAAATGCTTTAGATTATAGGGGATAAGAGTAGTTAGAAGGTGGCAGGAAATAATCTTAATGTTAAAATTGTCAGGTTTAGGAGGTAAATTCCCAATTCTGAGGCCAATTGTATTAGGACCCAAATCACCAGTAGGGCCTAACTGAGGCCTTGTCTTATAAAATTTCCTCATGAAAGAATTCTTCAGTGGTATTTTCCAAATTTTACACTTGTAGCAGGACATTCCATTTTCCTTTATTTCTTTTTTCTTTAAAATTTAATTGTATTTGAAAGGCAGATCATATTTACAGAGAGAAGGAGAGTTGGAGAGAAAGCTATTCCATCTGCTGGTGGAGCTGAGCCAATCCAAAGATGGGAACTAGAAGCTTCTTCTGGGCTCCCATATGGGTGCAGGGTCCTGAGGTTTTGGTCCATTCTCTACTGCTTTCCCAGACCATAACCAGGGAGCAGGCTGGGAAGTGAAGCAACTGGGACATGAACCAGCATCCATATGGGATCATGGTGCTTGCAAGGTAAGGATGTAGCCACTGAACCATGGTCCGAGATCCTCTATTTTTATTTAATTTTTATTTTGAGATGGCATTTTAAAATTGTACTATGATCAAAAGCATAATGCTGCACTAAAGAGTTCAACAAATAGCAAAAAAGGTGATGGTTCAGCAGCAGAATAGACAAGGGATACACACAGTAATCAAATGAAAATATGTTCAGCTGTACTCATATGAAGTAGATTTTAAAGTCGTCAAAATCAGTAAAAGTGTAGTAGCATGTAATAACAATTTATCCAACGAAGACTTAAAACCTAGCTCGACAAAACAGTGCATTTGCAGCCAATCTGACAGTTGCAGACTTTTTCTTTTTTGTTTATTAGTTCCCACATGAAAGGAAGAACATGCGGTATTTGTCTCATAGCAGGTCATTTTCAAGAAATACAGTGCATCTTCGTGTTTTCCCAAGGAGGCTCTGAAGCCTAAGGAGACTAACTTTGTTGAAGCCCCAGAGCAAAGCTGGAAGGAAAACACAGGGCTTAACTTGCCCAGATCACTATGTTAATTGTTTTTAGTGTTTTCTTGCCTATGGAATGAGATGAATATCTATATTTTAATGAATTTCTGGTGTAGACGGTCCATTTTGCTGGGAGGTGGTGCCTTTAAGAGGTGAGTGGGTTGGTTAAGAGAAGTTAATGCGTGTCTGGTGGGAGTGGGTTTCTATAGAGTGAGTCTGGCCTTCTCCTTGCTGCTTTTGCCTTCCACACAAGTACTGTTTAACTCAAGGAACTTTGCTGTGGATGTATATGTCATAAGACAGCCAGGCAGAAGGCCCAGATGAGGGACCACACAAATGAGGGCCACTTTACTGTGTCTTGGCAGCCTCCAAAATTTTGAGGTAGGTAAATGAATTTTTTTTTTTTTTTTTTTTTTTAAGAAATAAAGTGCTTTGGCCAGATGGGTTGGCTAGCCCCAGCGGTGGGCTCCCAGGCAGTGGGCTCCCAGGCAGCAGGCTCCAGCCGGGTGGCTCAGCCCCATTGGCCAGCCACAGGCTTGGAGCCAGGTGGGTTGGATAAGTAAATAAATACATTAAATAAATAAAGTGCTTTGTTTCAAGTATATAGTTTTGGGATCAATCTGGTTGCTAGTTCCCTCATTGTTTACATGATACAGTTGTACTTTGAGAAATGAGTGATCATTTTGAGAAAAGTTGTTTTTTGGTCTCTTGGTTGCTGTGTTACAGTCTCAGTAACAGTTGTAATACCGCAATGAATACATTAAACATTTTTACATTGCCTTTATACATTTAAGCCTTAGCATCATGAATTCATACAAATTATGGAGGATGGATGGCAAGCCATTTTCAATGAGGTAACAATGCACCGAGTTGTAGGTGATTTAGGGTCAGCTGCTGAGAAGTAGCTGTCCTCAAGGGTTTCAATTCAGTGCTGCTCTTGAGTGTCTTTCATTTGGGTCTTCAGTGTACTGCCTCAGCATCTTACCGTCCAAGATTAGTGCCTTTTCTTACTGAGAAAGTATTCATTCTACATTTTTTGTTTTTTTCCCATGGGATTGTTTGTTAGCCTTTGAAGTGAGACAGAGGAATTAAATCTCAAAAGTCACTAAGTGTTAGATATTTTGATTTTTCCTGTGAGATTGTTTTCATTATTTCTTTATTGTGTTATACTTACATAAGTGCTTTTTCTAAATTCAGTTGTAAGAGATAATTTATTTTGGGCTCAAGAAAAAAAAGCCACATCAAACCAATATAGAGTTTAATCACAGTAAAGGAGTTTTGGCTGGTTACAGAAGACACTGTAGCCAATTAACTTGTTATAAACAATTAATGACTCTGTAATCACTAGGTGACTTTCTGCATGTTGTTTTCTGTATAAAATTTCTTTAAAAGTTGGCTAATCACCATGTTGGAGTTTTCTGTATTCATTTGTGATTCTATAAACTGCTTGATTTCCATATTGATTTTCTTTACTTTGCCCCCATAACTATGGAATTCAGTTGATCTAAGGAATTTTCATTAAAAATAAGAGCATATAATATATGCTTATAATACGTACTCATTCATATATGTGACTATTGCATATTTTCACATATATGAAGTTTAGCTGCTTTGATTTGCATAGAGATTTAGATGAAAATGATCCCTTTTATAATTGGTTTCTGCAAAGTGGTTTGTGTTTTTCTTTTGAATGGAGCAGCAAATGCTATTAGAGTACATTGACTGTCAAGTTGAAATGCTGTTTGAAGGGGAAATTGGCTTCTTTCTCTGCTGTGGATAATATGGTATGCTCCACTTAAAAGTAATTGTTCTCTGCTCTTACTTGGCTACAGTTATCTGTGGTCTGAAAACAGTATATAGAATATTCCAGAAATAAACAATTCTGAAGTTTTAAAGCGTGTGGCATTTTGAGCAGTGTGATTAAGTCATGGTTTCTCATCCGGACTAGGAATTACCCTTTGTTCAGATTAGTTACCCTATGAATGCTCCCCATCTGTCAGCAACTCACTAGCCATTTCCATGATCAGACTTGCTGTGGTATTTTAGTGGTTGTGTTCAAATAACACTTACTTTGCTTCGTAATGGTGCCCAGCCTCAAAAGCAGTGGTGCTGGGAATTGTGATCTGCCAGAGAGGAAATAAAATAAAATGGTGAAAAGGTGAAATTATTGTAAGACATTCATGTAACTTTTATTACAGTATATTGTTAGCATTATTCTTTCATCGTTGGTAATCTTACTTTGCTTAATTTGTAAGTTAACTTTATCATAGGTATGGATAGGAAAAAAAAACAACTCAAACAGTATGGCTGTGGTTTTAGCCATCTGCTAGGGAGAGTTCAGGACAGGGTAGGAGGTGCTACTGAACTGAAGTCACCGCAGTGTTCTGTCTTAGCACTTCACCGATTAAAATGACATTAATGACTTAGAAATTGCTGACATCAACCTGGCCGCTTAATCTACCAGGGCTCGTGTTCTTTACTTTCCTAAACAGATAAGCATTTTTTTTCTTTGAGTCTTTGAAATTTAAATGTCAAGGACTTAGTTGACCTTACTTTGAATGATTGTAATATTTGATTCTGAAACAAATCTTTG